TTAACAGATCAAAAGGGAAAAGACAGATATCTTCACCATATATGCTGAAAAGGCATTTCATAAAATTCAATATCCATGCTTAATTTTAAAAAACAAAAATTTCTTAAAGAGGTGAATTAAATACTTCCTTTACATAATAACATATGCTGTATGTATCCCAACCCAACAACCAGCTAAATAGAAGAACCATGGACACAATCCTATTAAAGACACAAAAGACAAGCATATCCATCATTACCATTATTGTTGACAATACCAAAAAAGTCAATATAAAACAAACTTATAAAAAACATGCTCAAGAGCCAGCCGAGTGGCGCATTGGTTAAGCCCTGGCTTGGGATGCCAGAGGGCCCCAGTTCGGATCCCACATATGAGGGCCAGTGACACTGCCCTCTACAGCTAAGATGCTGAACAACAGCTCNGTGCCAACTTGGGCCAGTGAAGCAACATCCTCCACAACTAGACTGAAGAACAAAACAACAGCAACTTGTCTGTTCCCCTTCCCCCAATTCCCCAACGCTGTTCCCCTCCCCCAATTCCCCAATAAAATCTTAAAAAAAACAAAAAAAAACTAATTTAGGCCATACACACACACACACACACACACACACACACACACAAACACATACATATATACACATATATATACAGAGGGTGCGAAAAAAATGTATACACATTTTAAAAAAGGAAAACTGTATTAAAATTGTAATACTCAATATATACTGATAAAAAATGAATACAAGTCACATTTGACTTCTGCAATTACAAGAGGTGTTCAAAGTGGTTACCATCAGCGTCTAGACGCTTTTGATTAGCAAGGTGTCTACTTGTATACACTTTCTTGGCACCCCCAATATACACACACGTATAGAGGTATCTCTTGCTTTTCAAAAGTTCCTGTGAAGCCTCTGCTTTTAGGAACAACCTACATTAGAACCAGCTTTCACTAACCCAAAGAAATCTGAAGAGGAATTTTGCTGAAAAAAAGCAAGAATTGAATTCTGTGCCTATTTCACAGCAACCCATTGTAAGGGAGAGCACACTCGGAGCAGCTACAGTGGCCCGCCAAGCTCCTTCTTGGGAACTATACTCAGCATCTCAGCATCAAACTGCCAGAGCTTTGATCTGTGTCTGTGAGCACCTGTGCTTTATCTCAATTTATTTTGTGCATCTAATAGCATCCTAAGGTATCGGAAAAGCCTAAGAGAGCTCGTGAGGGTGTTGTGCTTAGCATAAAACGACATAATTCAGCATTTTGATCATGGTAAATGAAATAAACATGTTATATGTGCACTGAACTTGCCTGCTTCCCCATTAGTGCTCTTCACATGCCGAGAGAAAGAATCTTGAGACTGCTGAAGTTACTACTGGTCCTGCTAGTAGCAAAGTGGTTCCTTTTACTCAACATCCAGTATAGGATAAAATGGAGTCATATTGCCTAAGTGGGTTGATGTGTGTACAAAGCATGGTACGTATTTATACATTCTTGCTTTTACTAACTGTTAGTGTTATTTTAGGTTTTATGTTTTATGTCTCATTTGGTATGATTTGGTAGGTTATTTGGGGGAGCTGGGAACATTAAAAAATTTATCCATATAAATTAATGGTAATTGCTTCTTCCCTTTACAACATTTTGGCTTACAAAAGGTTTCATAGGTAACTCTACTTTCAGAGAGCAAGGGAAACCTGTATATATATATTAAATTTTCAAAAGACTTTAAGAAAGAAAAAGGAAGGCTACCTTATGAGTCTCTTAACACTTTCATCAGAAAAATCAAAATACAAATTGCAAAATATCCAAAAAAAATGAAAACTTCATATTAGAACCTATCGAAAACAACCAATACACTGCACAATCAAAAGTTTAAATATTTATATTATATAAACATGTAGGAAAAATCAGTGAATTAAGTAAATAACTAAAAAGGGTAGAAAAAGTAAATAAACCTAAGGAAAGCAAAAGGGAAAAGAAACTGAAGATTAAAAAACAGAAAACAATAGTTGATTCCCAATTTAACAATGGTTCAACTTACGATTTTTCAACTTTACAATGGTGCGAAAGTAATATGCTTTCAGTAGAAACTGTATTTCAATTTTGAATTTTGATCTTTTCCTGGGCTAGCAATGTGCAATACGATGCTCTCGTGATGCTGGGCAGCACCAGTGAGATGATTTTGCCCAACTGTAGGCTAATTCAAGTGTTCTGAACACATTTAAGATAGGAGAGGCTACGCTATGATGTTCAGTAGGGTAGGTGTATTATATGTATTTTTTTTTAAGATTTTTATTGGGGAATTGGGGGAATGGGAACAGTGCTGGGGAATTGGGGGAAGGGTAACAGACAAGTTGCCGTCGTCCCGCTCTTCAATCTAGTTGTGGAGGATGTTGCTTCACTGGCCCAAGTTGGCACCATCATTGTGCTCTTCTCTGGCGAGGCAGATCAGTCGCCGGCTTCTGGACGGCCGCTCACGCTGGCTGCTGGCCGCTCACGCTGGCTGCTGGCTACACA